ACTATTCTGAATGTGTACTGCATTGCTAAAAATAATGTTTGCATCCAAATAACATGTTTTTATGGTGGCACATTGCATGCAAATCTGTTAGTAAACAAACCTCAGAATCAAATGCATTGCTTAATGTATTGTTTATACACCCCCCCACCCCCATTGTAATGTATAAAGGTACAGAATCATGCAGACTTATGCAAGAGACTCTCTCATGTCCCTCCCCCTGTAGCCCAGTTCATGAAATATCAGCTATGAGACATGTATGCATGGAACAATCACTTAGTTGCATGATTGTGCAATAGACTTACAGCCAATTTCATGATGAAAAGGGAGGGTTGAGCCTCGATGCCTTTCATTTGCAGTCTGTGCAGCCAAAGCACGTGCTTCATGCCTGTAAAATGCTCTCATCTGTGAGTGTAAAGCTGAAGGGGCGTGGATAAAGGCTTGAGTTACCTGCCCTAGACTTTCACCTGCGGAGAAATGGAAAGAATTTAACAAACCACCAGCAGCAGCAGCAGCAGCAAGTCGATGAGCCTGGAACATAAAACCGTCGGCATTCCACCCCAGAGAGAGGAGGAGGAACTCGAAGCGCACGGCAGGTTCACCTGAAAACATTCGACTCGCTCCTCCTTGAAAACGCAGCGTTTGTAAGCCTCAATCTCGCTTTCAGACCCGAGAACGAGACGGCTAAGCATCCCAGAGGGTGAGCTGAACCCTGACTATGGCTCTCAGGTTTCAAACTTTACAGGGAATCAGAAAGACACGTCGGAGAGACAGAAAGAGCGTGTTTACCTGTGCAGGTGGAACGGACTGGCCGATGTGAGCTGGATTTCTGCACTGATTGGACACCATGGTCAGACCCCTACGCTTGTGGATCTTTAACGTGCTCCTGTGTTTCGGCATCATTTATTCTCGACTCGGGTAAGCAGAGGATCTACTTTATGCTAAGTATGTGCTTTATATGCAAAGCATTTGATGTTTACGTTTGGGTAGTTGACACATAAGGTCATTTCCATGTAGAGTTATTATAGTTAACTAAAACCATAATAAAAAAAAACATTATTTACTTGAAATAAAATAAACATTAACTGAAATCAAATAAAATATAAAGAAAGCCTTACATTTCAGCTAGTTGTATTTAGTTTAACCTGACGTAAATTAATAAAAAAACTACCGAAATATAAAAAACAGCAAAAAATAAATACCAATAAAAAAGTAAAAAACACACAACAAAATTACTAAACGATCTTACATTTAAAATGAAAACAGAAAGTATTCAAAAAAATAATAAAAAAAATAATGATACTAAAATAACAGTCCATGAGCTGCCTTTTTTAATCAACATCAAGATTTTAAGTTAAAGTTTATATAAATATATGTACATTTTAGATAATTAAACCATTTTAATCAATTTTCTGCCTTCACTAGTTCTTATTAAGTGGTCCTGCAGTGTTTTTAAGAGAGCAAATATCCATATATGTTTCTGATTAGTATGAGATCATAAAAGATGCATTAGCAAAAGGCTGTTTAACAGTTTTTGACGGATTATGGCATTTCACAACACAGAACGTGTCAACTTTCCACAAGTATTTCATGTCAACTACCTGCAAAAGTAAATATCTGCACTTATTACAGGTTATTACACCCAAACACTAACCCAAAATTTAACATCTTGATTCATTTTGGAGGTTGAAATGCCACATTTATTGAATAAAATTGCTTTTTTTATGGCATTTTGTCCTGCATTTGTACCGAGCTTAGATTGGCGCACTTTCTAATCTAAAAGACTGGATTGCAATTATTACGATTATACATGCAGTTGATCAGTATGCACTAAAAGTGATATTCAGATCTGTACACCTGCTCACTGATCCTTTAAAGCCGGAGTTTAGGGTCTTCACGTGAGTGAATTTGAACTTTACAGCTATTTTTCACTGCATTTGCTCCATGTTTTTCTTAGTTAACTAGTTTAGAGGAAGATCCATGCTGTGGTTTTCTCTTGCTTTCACCTCTCTGTACCCTCAGTAATAACAGCATGCCGAGTTGTATTTCCACATTCCTTCACCCTCCAGTTTTGCAAGACCTCACCTGAATTCTTGAGGGATTTGTTCGTATGAGAGGGTCGCCTGTCATCTAGTCTATTCATGATTTTCTTGATATATATATATAACTCTTTTCTCTCATTTATTTGTTTTTATTCAGTGCATATGTACTGCCACATGAGAAATTATACTCTCAGCAATGCAAAATGGAATTAGGTTATCATATCTAGATCTGCGTATGCCTTTGCGTGCACAAACAGATCATAGTTTATCCACCTTTTGAAGTGGAAATCCATTCATGCCGCTGTTATTTATCTGAAACAGGTGATCATACAGCTTAGAGCAACTTATAAAATAGAAAACCACCTCATGAGTCACTTTTTTTTTTTCTAATTTATGGAAGCACATTTGTCATTATGTCACAGTTCTGAGATTAATGGTGCAATCTTTAGCAGACATAAGGTGGCTCACAAGACCTCACATGACTGGAAGCATGCTTTGAGATCTCTAGATAATGTGGGGTCTCGTCAGGTCACCCCTGAGGCTTGATATCTGTCACTATACCCCCTTTACTCTCTTTCACTATGATGGGATATACAGCACATGCAGGTACAAGCACTGCATTTCACTCAGCGCATTAATAAAGCTGGCCTATAGATTTATGGGTTATCACTTGGACCAGCGTCCTCGTGTTTTATCTTCTAAAAAGTTCCTTAATGTTCAATTTAGAACCTACAAAGAACATTTTAGCTGAAAAAACAGATTAAGACTGTTTACCAAAGAGGGGTCTGCTGTTGCTACAAGCCGTAATATATAGTGAAAAAGTGAATAAAGTGAAAAAGTATTAATGGTCTGTCGATTCAAAGATTCTAAAAGAAAGTGCTCAGCATCTGCTGTTGCTATGGTGACTCGTGCAACACAATTTCTGTTCAAGACTCGCGAGCGTCTATTTAATGCCACGTGAAAATACATACATTTTGCATACAAGTATAGGCATTTAACACCGTTTTAAGAAGGTTGAGTGACCACAGAAAAGTTAGTCAGGTAGCGTATTTTCACTTTGCAGTAAATAAATGCTCACAAACGCAAGTTGCTGAATAGGTAACCATAGCAACCGCTGGCACGCTCTCCGTCAGGATCATTATTGGATGAAAAACTGATGAAACAGTTATAGTAATAAGTATTTATGGTCTGCCAATTCAAAGATTTAAAAATAGAACGCGCTCATCTTCTACTGTTGCTATGGTGACTTCCGCAGCGATGTTTGCAAGCGAATTTGAAAATTCACGTTTTTTGCATATAAGCAGTGTTGGGGAAAGTTACTTTTAAAAGTAATGCATTACAATATTGCGTTACTCCCTAAAAAAGTAACTAATTACGTTACTTATAAGTATATGCATTTAACAGAATTTTAAGAAGGTTGAGTGACCACAAAAAGTTAGCCAGGTAGCCTATTTCCACTTTGCAGTAAATAAATGCTCTCGCTGAATAGGTAACCATATAGCAACCGCTCGCGCTCCGCCAAGATCATTATTGGACAGAATATCGATAAAACATCTTTACTGTCATTGTTTATCACATTATTATAGGTATGCATATCCCGACAACGTAATGTTTTGTTTTGAAAGTCATTTAAATTACGTGTTTGGCGCTAAAATACATGTTAGCCACAGAAAATACCTTTATAAAGTAGAGCCCAGGAAGTGGCTGTATAATTCGCACGCTGATTAAAAGTAAACCGAATGGATATTTTCAGTGGAATGCATATATGTGGGACTTCTGTGACAATATGGGAAGCTGTAGGGATCGTCGGTTACCTCTCAAGCGGGCACGGGTGCGCTGTCAGTGTGGCCCCTAGTGGCCCCTTTATCCAAAAGTGGGCGGATGGTGGTGTGATGGTGCCGTCCTCTGCCCAATGGCAGCCCGGAGTCTCCGGAGAGGAGAGAGCCACTTCTGCTTCCATCCCCAAACCCCCCAAAAACCCATCAGCCCGCTCCGACTGCACGAGCCGCGCGATGACACAGCGCGTCTCCTTCGCACACACACGCGTCTGGGAGTTACGCGCAGCCTAAAAGAAGGACGCGCAACTGGAACTAAACGCATCTCGTTCTCTCAGTCCGTCAGAAAAGCGTCCGTATGTCACCATGATCCTCTTCTCCTCGCGCAGTGTGCTGCTGTCTGTCTATTACCCGCAGATCTTCCTCATCCTCACCAGCGGGAGCTACCTGTAAGTCTCTAAACGTCTAAATCTGTTGGTTTCATGTTCGTGCGATGCAAGACTAAAGTTTGGACGCGCTTGACTAGATTTCTTTCGCAGTGCTTTACAGCGAGCCTATATATGAATCGCTTTACAAAACGAACATATAAATGAATGTTTTGAAATGTATTAGTTGGACAGGTGATGGAAAGCCACCTAACAAGTGTCTAGCATGCGTGGGATCTCCTTTGATACTGTTTGAAAAATATCCCACATCCTTCACAATATCCCAAAGGAACATGTACAGGATTCCTGTTGGATTTTCTATCATAATATGGAACTAATTTAAGATGCCATTGGATGAATTCTTTTTTTTTTTTTTTTTTTTTTTTTGGAATACT